CCCTGTAAATAACAATAACAGTTTATTTAATTATAAAATTGACAAATAATAACAAATAAATGGTTTTTTTTGCCTCATTTTTCCGAATTGAAGATTTTTTTATGTGAGATGGCTTAAAAAAATGCGGAGATTATGTAAGAGAGAAACAAATTAAAATGTACCATTTTTTTTTCGTTGTTTGTTTTATTTTATAAAATAATAAAAATAATTACCATTAATAACTCTTTTCAAATTTTTATTTGGAAAATTAAGTCTTATATATTCACAATAATGAATAATGGATAATAGATCAACTTCACATATATACAAATATACAACATTTACATTCACATTCACATATACATACATACATAACACATACATACATACATGGAAATATTTTAAATAATTTTCCTCAAAATAATTTTATAATAAATATTGCAAGATTTTGTTTTGGATTTAATATGTTTACAACATTACCATTAGAAGTGTTTGTTTGTAGAGAGGTATTATTACAATTATGATGTTATTGTCATTGTTAAAATTCTTATCAAAATTATTAATACCTACTTTGTTGATATAGGTGATAATAAAATATTATTATCCAAATGAAATGTATTTATTGAAACGTCATGTTATAATAACGACATTATTAGTGGCCGGGGCAATGTTTATATCGTTGTTGACTAATGATTTAGGAATTGTTTTAGAGCTGACTGGAGGATTTTCAGCAACAGCATTAGCATTCATTCTACCACCTGCATGCTTTTTAAAACTAACATCTGGTAAATGGTATAGTAGGAAAAAATTACCGGCAGTTGCATGTGTTGGGTTTGGGGTCTCGGTTATGATATTAAGTACCACATTGAGCATTACAAAAATTATCAATAATTATCATGAAGAACGAGATTTAAAAAAGTAGAAAGATAAGTTTATAATAAAACCTTAATTTAATAATGTAACTTTTTATTCTATTTTTTTAAAAAAATTGTACAAAAAGTACTTTTAAAAAAACTGGAATATGAAACTAATATTTAAAAAAAATAAATATACACTAACAATCTATTTATTCGACTATAAAATTATAAGAACTTATTAAATTGAAACCAAATTATGTTTGAGAAATGTATAAATAAAAATAAATTGTTACAAAAAATATTCTAAATTGTTCAAAATAATAAAAGTATTTTCTTATCCTCAACCTCCTTTATTTTTCCCTCTATTTCTTCTCTTTCTCCAATTTCTTTTTCTTGTCCTTCTTTTCCCTCTTTTCCTTTATAATTTTAAAATAATCTTCAAATGAGAATGATTTATCTTTATCCTTTTCATCAGGATTGATCAACAATACTTTTATTGAACTACTTTCTGATAATGGTCTAGTTAATTTTGGTAAAGTGAGAAATGGCGGTTTATCTGACTTTACTTTGGTTTTTTTAGGTTTTGTTATTGAATTAGTTTCATCATTATTACTTGTAGTTATTATCGATCTTGGCTTTTCTTGTTTTTCTTCAAAATTTCCATTGTTGGATGATTCTTGAAAATTTTGTCTTCTTTTCTTATTGAGAAACCATAACAAACCTATTATAATACTTAGTCCAACAAGTGATCCTATTACTATTCCGACTATTATTGATGATGGCGAGACTCCTGTTGATGTGTTTGGGTCCATAATGAAACTAATTCAAATTAAAATTGAATAATAATAATGAAAATAAATAATATTTCTAAAAGAATTCCTAAAGAAAAATTTTTTTAATCTTATGCCACTGAATGAATATATAAATAATACAATAAAATATTATCAAATCATTAATATTTATATAATGTTTCTTTTCTTTTTTCTAATTTCTTTTACTTTCAAAATTTTTTCTCCTTCAGGTCAAGAAGGATATATATATATATTAGAAAAAAATTAAAAAAGTGGCAAGAGAAAAAAAAAATTTTTTTTTAGGAATTCAATTTATTTAGTATGACATTATGTTTTTTTTTAATTATTTATTACTATATAAATAAATTGTAATAATAGTATTTTTCCGCATTATTATTTATTATTGTCTGATTTGGGCGAATGAATTTCGTTTCAAAAAGGTGTTACTATTGCCCAAAAAAAGAATTCGTCGTTTCACTACTTGTTTTAAAACTCATAATTTTTTTGTATATGGAAATACTTGAATTTGTTATCTAGCGCCAGAAAAAAAAAGGTTCATTGATAATAGTTAAACCATTTTAATTGTATTTTCTTCTCATTCTCTGTATTGTAAATGAACGTATTAGTAAAATCAATGCACAATCGATAATAATAAAATCTAATAATAAAATAAATAATTATAATTTTTAAAAATCATATTTTTTAATCGTATCCTTTTAAAGAATTCTATTTTAAAAGACTTGGGTCTTTTCTAATCAGTCATTAAAATAATTAAATATTATCACCATTAGAAATTGTAACTTTAAATTTTTTGGTAATATTTGACTTAATACTTTGAATATTTCATTATCATTTATTATATTACAATATTAATATGATGTGTTTCAGCTTAGCTTTCATTAATTAATTAACACAAAAAAAAGCTTCAACATTTGCCGTGTCACGATCTCCTTCCAAAACTTGCAAGTCGTGCGACTTCCGCGCAGTTTTCTCGCCGATTATCTCCTTTTGCGTCTAGCTGCGCCTGGTCTTTTCGGTTTTTGGCGCGATCAACGTTTTCACCATATTTAGCAAAAATTGTGTCGTACGGCAAATGGTTTGTTTTATAAAACAGGTTGCAATTGCAATTGAAATTGCATTGAAATTGAGTTGCGTTGGATTGAATTGCAATTGCAATTGAAACCGAAAAATCTTTGTTTTTTAAACCTAATTTTTTGGGAAGGAATTTTTTGCTTTTGCTGAGTGGTAAAATTTTTTTTTTATTTTTCTGAAAAAAAAAATTTGATCACGTAATTTTTATTGCAAAAAAAAAAATACAAAGAATAATAAAAATTATTCAGTATCACAACTCTCATCATTATCGTCGTTTACCACTGTTTCATTCTCATTATTATCATCATCATTTTCAATGTTGTGCGAATTTTCTACTGCATCCGTATAACCTTTATTATTATTGTTGCTGACAACTTCGTTCATTGTATGTGTCAGTTTCGTTGCCCTTGATGTGCTTGGTTCTTCCTGTGGGTAGGGTTTCTATTCGAATAAGGTTTATTCGAATTATTCACTTTATTCGTTATTTGAGCATTCGAATTACATTGAAAGTTTATTCGAATAAATTTTAATTCAAATAAAACGAATAATTCGAATAAGAAAATTGATTCGAATAAGGAAATTAATTCGAATAAAAAAATTAATATTAATATTAATTCGTATAAGAAAATTAATTCGAATAAGAAAATTGATTCCGAATAAGGAAATTAATATTAATATTAATATTAATTTGAATAAAGCAAATAATTCGAAAAAATTAATTCGGATAAAACAAATAATTAATATTAAGGTCCAGTTTAAATTCAAGCTCACTGGAAAGATTGCTATTTATTAAAAGAAACATGAATCTTGTTGTTATTATAAAATTTAATATTCTGGGTAACACGAATTTGCTATTGACGTATGCGTGACAAATACAAGCTTACAGCATGAATTCGTATATAAATAAATTACCGCAAGAAGTTTTAAGTCTTCTCCATTACTCTGGCAAGTTACTATTATTATTTTATTGCTCCGAATTTCAATGTAAATTCTAACTTTATTTCATTAGACTATTGAAATCGAGATATAGATTTGTGGGAAGTTATCACTTGGGATATATTTTTTATTAATAAAAGACCTGGCTGCATACAACAGTTTGCACATTCGGCACTTTCAAGTGAACTAAATATACTAATGGAAAATCAGCAAACAAATAGTAAATCTTATCAAAAAGCAAAGGAAATGTATAACCAACTGAAGGTCTGTTTTTTTTTTAAAAAATAAATCTCCTAACATAATACACATGCTATGCCCCGCGACTGAGGTCGATTGCGTTCAAGTTCTTCTGCGGTTTACTTGGATGAGGAAGAAGAGTTCAATGCTCAGTGCATTTGTCATTATGTTAAGAGATCCTAACCACACCCTGCGACTGCGGTTGAGCAACTTTGTTGTACAGGGCATTTCTGCGGTGGGGAGTATGTTATGGCTGTTCGCCATATCATATGCGATTAGGCATTATTAAAACTGTGGCAAACTGTCACTCTCAACTATGTTAAAATATGTTTACTATATTAATTTTTTTTCTTTTTTTATCATACAAGAAAAAAGATATTTCAATTACTACAGTTTGGAAACATTCAGAAGATCTAGCAAAATTGGCTATACTGAATTGTGTTGATGAGGTATATATTGACTGTTTTGCAGTTCTTTCTTTGGAAACTTATATTTGAGTGTTCATATATTTTCTTTTTAATTTAGCAAGCTATCAAATGTATTTCAATTCATGCAACAGCAAATGCTGCTAAAGATCATTTTATAGCATCAACTACACATGTTGAATCCAATATCGGAGCATCTAAAAATTTAAACCTAGATCAACCACTAATTCAGAGTAAATTAACAGAAGAGATTGAAGAAGATAATTACAATGTGCTCAATAATGATCGAAATGACCAAACGGAGGAATGCTATGACAATAATGACATAGATGAAGAGGATACTTTGACTGAAGAAATACCAACAGAAAATTTTGAGGAAGTGGATCTTGTTTATTATTATTATTTAAAAATTCCGTATTTCACTATTACTAATATGGTTATTATTTTTTTTATTCATTCATTGATCCATTTTGTTCCCGAATTAATTTCTCTTATCATTACATATCAATTTACATATTTTATTTGGGTACAATATTTTTCGATCTTTCCAAAAAAAAAAAAAATCTGACAAGAAACGCAAGGCTGAAGTCACACGGGAGTTGGCAGAGGAAGACTCTCTAAAATGCCTGCACCATTATTATTTTTCAAGAATGAGTATGATAGAGATTGTGTCTTCAACTATCATCCAAATTATGTGAACAACATCATCTTAATTGATTTGTATGATCCTGTTTTCAGAAAATTTAAATTAAGGCTTTGGAAAAATTAGATTTTGAACCAGCTCATGTTCATAGTTAAACAATAGGTTATTTTCACACAACAATCAAAGAAAAAAATTAGTTATTACTACAAATTTATTTGTATTTAAAAAAATAAATAAAATGTCTATTTAATTAAATAAACAATATATTTTCTAATAAATCCAAGTATTTAAACTATTCAAATTATTATTATTATTATTATTATTTGTTTATTCATTTTATTTAAACTATTGAATTATTCGTTATTATTATTCATATGATTCAAATAAACTTTCAATGCAATTGAATACTTAAATCCATAGTGAGTAAAACAAATAATTTGAATAACCTTATTTGAATAGAAACTTGTATAGTTGTATGTAGTGATTTTAATTTAGTTCACGAGATTTGGTGACTCCAATAACTCAGATCACATGCTTGCAATATTTACAGTTTTATGACTTTAGTGTGTCAATACTGAATTGTTGTAGGAAAATTTAATTTTTTTTTTGGGATAAATCTAATATATTTTGTGTGATACATATTTGGCTGAAAAAATAGTTCTTTTTTTTTTGACAAATTATAATATAATTAAAAACCGCGATGGAAAACACTTTGGATGAAAATAAACATCATGACAATGCTTCTACTGACATAAATGATGAATATTCTGATAAAAGAAAGGAAACGTATGGGAAATGTCCAACCTGCATTAGATATAATACTGAATATTCATGGTGTCAATCATGTGATCCAAAATTATTAACTGAAGGATGGACTAGTGGCAATGAAACATTAGATGAGTTGATTAAAAGTACACAGCTTAAAGCAACTCATTACTATAATTATTATTATCTTCAATGGATTCCTTATAATGATTTAACAAATATTGAAAAGATTGGTGAAGGTGGTTTTGCAGTGATATCTAAAGCTACTTGGTTAAATGGTAGTAAATATATAAGTCATGAAGATTATAAAAGAACTAGTAAAGATATGGTTGTGGCATTAAAAAAACTACATAATTCACAGAATATTCTAATGAATTCTTTAATGAGGTAAATTATTTATTTTCTATTTATTTTTAGATTTTAAATGTTATTCTGAATTCATATTTTTTATATATAGTTTAGAAATTATGTCACATTTTATGATAAATCATTTATAAAAAAAATTTATGGATTAACACAAGATCCAGCTACAAAAGAATATATCTTTGTAATGGAATACATGGAAAATAGAAGTCTTCAAGATTATGAAGATCCATATATTAGATATGAAAAATATGGGGAATGTCTGACTTGCAATAGACATAATACTGATTATACATGGTGTCAATCATGCAATCCAAAGCTATTAACTGAAGGATGGACTAGTGGCAATGAAACATTAGATGAGTTGATTAAAAGTACACAATTTAAAGCAACTGGTTATGACAATAAATATTATCTTCAATGGATTCCTTGTAATGATCTAACAAATATTAAAAAGATAGGTGAAGGTGGTTTTGCAACTTGGTTAAATGGTCGGAAATATGTGTATAATAGAAAAAGATATAGTTATGGTATAACTGTGGAATTAAAAAAATTACATGTTTCACAGAGTATTTCTGATGAATTTCTTAATGAGGTAAATTATTTTATTAATATTAATTTCAGCTTTTTAAATATCATTGATTATTATTTTGTAATTAAATATTTTATTTGTTATTTTAGTTCAAAAATTATACAAAGCTTTATGGATTGACACAAGATCCAATTACAAAAGAATATATCTTTGTAATATGTTATATGGAAGATGAATATTCAACAGAAAGAGATGAAGAATATGGGGAATGTCTAACTTGCAATAGGTATAATACTAGTCTGGCATGGTGTCAATTATGTGATCCAAAGCTATTAACTAAAGGATGGACTAGTGGCAATGAAACATTAGATGAGTTGATTAAAATCACACAACTTAAAGCAACTGAGTATGATAATGTTTGTTATCTTCAATGGATTCCTCATAATGATTTAACAAATATTGAAAAGATTGGTAAAGGTGGTTTCTCAACTGTATACAAAGCTATTTGGTTAAATGGTAA